TAGAGTGATATTGGAATAAAACACCTTGGTTGAAGTCTCAGCTCTTCCACTTGATGTGTGTGACTAGACAAGTTTCTTAATGTCTCTAAGTCTCACTTTCCTCATCTGTAAAATGGATACAATGATACTTGACAATGATGTAGGGAATAGATGGTAGATTCTGGAGTCACAAAGATCTGGGTTCAAATCCTACCTCGGAAACATGGCAGCCATTTGAGCTTGTGCAAGTCACTTAATCTCTCAACACCCTAAGTTGAGCATGAATTATCTATCTGCTTTAAAGGATAGAGCTTCCAAATCCTGAGTTCCCCACACTGATGAAATCACTGGTCCAGAACCTCCCCCCTCCTCCCTCCACCCCACCAATTAATATTTGCACTATTTACCTCATAAAGTTGTTGTGAGCATCAAATGAGATTATTGACTTAAAACTTAGACGTCATGTAGTAAAAACATCCTATAACAAAATGATGATGTATACAAAAGTGCTTAGCAAACAATAAAATGCCATAGAAATGGAAAGTATTGATAACAACAAGGATGAAAATGGGGTGACACATTTGTACATCCCTGGGCAAGATCTAAAAATTATATTCCCCAAGTGTTACTATCCACCAGAAGCGTTGGGCCTTTACTCTAACACTTAACTTGATTTATCACAAAACAAATACCTCACCACTACAGAGAACAGGATTTTCTGGTATTAAAAAGATGTATATTTATACAAAGTCATCTTACACTTTCATTGCCTCCTTCTCACCCCATGGAAATGGGCTATTCTCCCAACCTTAATGGAATATGGCATCAGGCTGAGAAGCTGGAGTCCATTCACCCATAGCTTTCCTTTGATCTAATGAGGAAACATATGATAGGTTCTGATCTCAACATTTCACACTGCAGCCTTCATCCACCAATACCAAAGCTTATTTATTCATCCATGAGGATGCCCTCTATATTCTGCATAATTCATCCCTTCTTCCTAACCCCAATTAGAATGATGGGGGAGAAATCACACTAGTGGAGTATGGTAAAAGCAATTTATATACCTTCTACATGCAGGCTTTCCTGATTCCTCCAAAAATGCCTTTAATTTATTTTGTGGATATATTATCTATGTGTCTGCTTTTATATATACTGTCTTCTCAGTAGAACTGTAAGATCCTCAAGGTCAATATTGGGCTGCTGTCTGCATCTCAATCACCTAGCACAGTGCCTACCCAAAGGTAAGTGCTTAATAAACATTTGTTGATTGATTTTTTTTTTCTCACTGTGGATGAAAGAAGGACTGAGTCAGGGTTTGACAGGAGGGGGCCATCTCCCTAGGGGATAATTCCTAGGGATGACAAGCAGAGGAAGAAGGAAGAGAAGAGGCTGATTTCTAGTACTAGAGTTATGACAATGGGTGAGTATTTCTTATCCAGAAAGACCACAACTCCAGTAAGACCAATCTAAAATTTCTCTAGCTTCAGGGATAAAGAAAGGAGGCTGAGTGCTGAGGGTAGTGTGCCAAATGCCAGGGTGGAACCAAGTACTGAGGACATAAACACTGGGATAGGGTAGCCAAGTGGTGGTACTGGGGCTAAGTGCTGAGATGAGGCTAAAAGCTAGAGATAGGGTCCAAATTTGGGGGATGATACTAAATGTAAGAGATTGGAGCTAAGTAATAAGAATGGAAGAGAAGTACTGGGAATAGAAGCTCAGTTCTGGAGAAGGGGCTAAGCACCTGGAGCAGGGTGCTAAACTGAAGGGAGCTGAGGCATTGGCTTTCCTTGCCCCTCACTCAGAGTTCTGTACAGAGGCATTAGAAGAGTTCTGGCTTCTGGGGCAAATTCAGTTTGGGGAAGGGTCTGAGGAGACCCACTCCTGAGAGTAGTTGAAGTAATCTGGAGAAATAGACTGTGGAAGCTGAAGAGGTTAAGGAAATGGGAGGCCAGAGTGTTTGAAGAAGATGGGCAAAAGTGGGGGCAAAGTCTGTGAGTCAGGCACTGAACTTCTTGAAAAGAGAGGGAGAAAGTAACCTGGTGGTCCATAGATGACTCCAGCAAGAATGTGAATGGATGAAATGAATTTTAAAGGTAATTGTCTTTTGATAGAGGGAGAGACAAGGTCTGAAAATGGTAGTGGAGAGAAAGAAGTATACCAACTTCCCTGCTGTCACTGTGTCAGAGTATGTGAGAGATAAAGCAGCCATCAACAGAGAGGGTACCAAGAATTGAGATATCTTTAGGGAAAAGATACGACATTCTTCCTATGTAGAAGTGGCGGAATATTGTGTGAAATATTGCATATACTGTCAGACAAGACCAATGTGTTAGTCTGATTAGCTTTGAGGATTTTAAAAATCTGTTATGAGGAATGATGCCCTGAGGAAGGAGGGAGGAGGTACATGTTCAGAAATTAAGATGATATAAAAAAGAGTGTCAAGAAAAAGATAACTTGCTAAATGAGGAAGCTAAGTTTCAGTGAGTATCAGAAAATGGGAGAAATGTTGGGGGGAGAAAAGATCTAGGATGAAATGGAAAGTTTAAAAATAATTGTGACTTTCAGGGGAGAGCCTAGGGAGAGGTCAGGCTGAGATGGATTTAACAGTGGAGGGGAACCCAGAGCCTTGAGGCTACGCGTGTCAAAGGGCTGCATTCAAGGACCTAGAGGGCTACATGTGGCCTCAAGGCTGCAGGTTCCCCACCCCTGGTTAGGATAACAGAATGGGGGAGGTAACTAAGGAAAGGAGTTCTTCGGAGGTAGCAGAAATAAGTAGGCCCCAGGAGGGAAAATCCTACCACAGGATGAGTATCAGCTTTGGAGGGAAAAGTGTGGCCCATTACCCTTCCTCACTTGCCCTCTTCTGGGACAGCCTTCTCACAAGAGCCAGAAGGCGGTGGGAGCTGGTGATCTCTGGATCCACAATGAAGAAGAAGCAGTACCACTCCCTAGACATTGCGACCTGTGCAAAGCTCTAGTTTCTTGACCTAGTAGGGCCCTGTCCCAGAGTCTCAGTTTCTTCCCCCAACCTCTTTCAGATAAATATCATTTTTAAACGAGTACTTAGTACTTAGTAAAGCAGTTCTTAGTACACAAACGAGACAGAGAGAGAGAGAGAGAGAGAGAGAGAGAGAGAGAATGCATACAGGTATCTCTCTGAGAATAAAAAAAAGCAGCCAACCATTTTAAGGCGTTTTCTTTCTTTTGGGATATAGATATTACAGTTTTAAAAAATAATTTTATTGATATTTTGTGTTTCTTACGTCACTATAGTATCCCATGTATCCCTCCCCCTCCCCAAGGGCTATCCCTTATGATAAATAGTGTTGGTTTTTGGTTTGTTTTTGAGAGGAAAAAAATTCTGCGTAACTGACTGATACATTGAGAAAGTCCAAAAATATGTGCAATGCAAAAATGTGTAACACCTGTGGACCTCCCACCTCCATGAAGGAGTATGTTGGGAGTTTCTTCTCACATATCTTCATTCAAGTGTATCGCAGTTTTTAAATGGTTCGTTTTTAATGCTTATTTATGTAGAGACATATCGACGCAAGGGGGGTGGGGGGAATGCACATTAGGAAAATACAAGTAGATACATACTTGTGATATTGGGGGAAGAAGTCCCAAGGGAGTAAAGTGGGAGCATCCCCTTATGGACACTATTTTGAGAACTGTTGTCTAAAACACAAGTTTCCCCCACCTCCAACTAAACTCATGTCCCCAAGCCTCAAAACTGTCAGACTAGAGAAGAAGGGAGGAAGGGGTGGAAAAAACAGGAAGGGGGGTGGCAAAGGAAAAGTTGTGGAGAACTATTCAAGCTTCCCACCCTAGCTTGAGGAGAGGAAGGAGGTTGGTTTGCTCCTTGAGGGTAGGACCATACCTATAGACTCTCCATAAACATTTAAGTAAATCAATATAGTCTCTGAGAGATCAGGGACTATGTCTTATCTGATCTTTGCGTCTCCTCCATTTCTAAGCACAGTGCTCTGTACACAGATATTTAATAAAGTTTGTCCAGGAAATAAATAAAAAGGCTGAGGCCTGAGTTCTGTAGTGGTTTAAGAACAGGTTTGGTACAACACAGTCACAGATGATCCTTTCCAGAGATGAGTAATACAACCGTCCATATGAAATGATTATTGCTTCTTCAACGTAGGGACCCAGAGCAACTGTCTTTATGTGCTAAATTGCCTCTGTCCAGGGTGCCTTGGTAGAGTACAGTAAAGCTTTCAAATGAGGGAAGCAGGACATGAAAGACTGGGGTACCTTTTTCCTCAGGCTAAGAATCTATTTGGGAAGATGGGGGAGGGGAGTCATTCCTTGGGAACGGAATAACATTCCCAGCTTCAAGGAAGTCTAGAACATTTCCACCTGTTTTGACTGGTTGACTGGGGTTTGTTTTCATCCTGTCAAGGAACGGGGATAGATTACTGAATCACCTCCACCCTTAATATTGGCTTTGATGTCTTATTCTCCTATCACCAATCAATCAACGAGCATTTTTATTAAGTCCTGCTATGTGCCAGGCACAGTGCTAGGCGCTAGGGATATAGGTGCAAAGAAAGACAATCCACACTCCGCAATGAGCTTGAGAAAGCTCCATGAGAAGTAGGGACCCCATCTCATCTACACTCCGTATCTTCCACAGCACACAGAGCAGTTGCTCAATAAATATTTATTGTCTTATACTGTGTGGCTTAGGACAGGGTGTTCCTAGGAGCCTAGGTGTTCCCGGGGTGTTCCTGGGAGCCCTGCCATTCTTCTGTAGGGTGTTTCTGGGCGCCTTGCGTCCTGAGGGCGGAGCCTAGGTGGGACGGGGCGTGCCGCGGGGGGTGGGGCGTACCTGGGGCGGGGCGTTCCTGGGATAGGGTGTTCCTGGCAAAAGGCGTTGCTGTCGGCGGAGCTTGTGTGGGGGCGGGGAGTCCCAGGCCCCACTCAGGTCTTCGGCGCCGCCAATGAGTCGATTCGGGGCGGAGCTGGGGCCGGAGCCGGCCGTCTGAGAAGCAGGAAAGGGAAAACGAAGGTATCCCCAGCGCCGGAGCATTCGCAGCCGCCGCCATCCCACTCTCCTTCTTCTGGCTGCGTGCATCCAAGCCGCAGCGCATCCAGCCTCGAGCCCAGCATCCACTTATCTCTCCGGAGCCTCCCCAGTCTGGGAAAAAGTCTCACTCCTCCAGCGTTGCAGGCTTCCCTTGCAACGCGTAGAGCCTGGAGCCTGGGAAGGAGGCCTCGGGAAGCATCCAGGCCCTGCGCCCCGACAAGCCCAAGCCAAACGGTGTCCGAGCGAGCCGGGGATCGCCTCCCTGCATTCGGAGAGGGAGCGCAGCTGACAGCAGAGGCGCAGGCTATGTCGGAGCCTGGGAAGGGGCCGGACGAGCCCGACGAGGGCCAGTACGACTCGGGCATCGAGTCGTGGCGCTCGCTGCGCTCCCTGCCCGAGCCGCCCCTAACCTCGGGGCCCTCAGACGGCTGCCCCCAGCCTCGGACGAGGATCCGTCCCCCCTCAGGGACCAAGGGGGACCTGAAGGAGGAAGATGGGGAGCGGATGGACTCCGCCTACGGCTCGTCTTCGCTTACCGAGCCTCTGCCCCCGCTGGGGGGCCCCGAGGCCGTGGAGGGCGGGGAACCCCGCGAGCCGGAGGTCCGGGTGGGAACGCTTAGCCCGCAGCAGCTGGAGGCGCTCACCTACATCTCTGAGGATGGAGACACGTGAGTTTGGGGTCCTTATGGCCTGGGTCCACTTCCACCACTGTGCCTGTCCACCGGGAGGTTCGTGATCGAGGTCCTCCCCTAACGGGACAGCCTGGTGTTCCTCCAAAAAGCATAGAGTCACTCTGCGGGGGGGGGGGGGTGTTTACTGTCCCCAAGGCCCATTGGTGACGCCACCACCCTAGACTTAAGCCCTGTCTCCTTCTGGGCTCTCTACCTCCAGCCCAGATCTTAGAATCTGACATGGTCCCTCCACCAGTGTCCATGGGTTTGGGGGGGCAGATCAGGCTGAGCTGGCTGGCCAACGTCTGCTTCTCCCGAGACTGTAGAGCAATTTCACTGACAGAGCCTCGTGAATAACTCCACCAACCAACCTTATAAATAATATTGCACTATCAGTTAAGAATAAGAATGAACCAGTTTACCTGGTTCTTTCTGTGTTGGGGAGGGGGTGAGAAGGAGGAGTCCTTGTTTGTTCAATATCTATAGTTATTCCCCTCCCCCAATCTCTAGACACCCCAGTCCCAGGAAGTAAGGCTTCCCAGGATTTGAATGAGGGGACCGAGAGAAAGGATTATAGAAGTGGGAGTTTCCAAGTACTAGGGGGAAGGGGTCTGGGGCCTAGGGAGATTGAGAGGGCATAAAGGCCCTTAGAGGGCAAAGATCAGGGTTGAGGGGTGTGTGTAAGGGGAGCAGGGGTGAGGGGAGGGAGGGAACATAACCCCTTCACATCTGATAGACCGGGGCAAGGTTTAGCCTTATTACTGCCACTTCTTCCTAGGTTGAGAAAGGGGAAGTTAAGGATGAGGTCAGTGTTCTGTGCTCCCCCTCCCATCCCCAAACCTCCTTCCATCAAGCCTAGGTGCTGTTTGGGAGTATAAACTATGTATGTGTGAAGGTCTGGTGGGAATGGGGAGGAAGGAGAACTGGTTACCTGTGGGGGGAGGAGAAACTTGCCCCATCCTATTTCTTTGAGATTAGGGAGATTTTAGGCTTAACATTCCTTCTTCAGCCTAGGGCCCAGGAGAAGTAGGATAGACTGGGATATAAAGCAAAGTGTGCTTGATCAGGGGTAGGGGTTGGAGATGCTGCCCCACCCCCTCCAACTTCCAGATTCAGCAAACCTTTATTAAGTGTTTACTAGAAGCAAAGCACCTTGCTAGATTCTGAGGGTCACAACCCAGCCCCTGCCCTCAGGCATAGGGTGGGGTGGGAGTGAGCAGCAAAACATATATAAATGGCTACCAGAATTAGGGAGAGGGTAATAAGGTAAGAGTATGATCAGTGCAAAGGAGTATATGCTAAAAAGAAATTTGAGGATTGGGAAGTTCTACTTGCTCCTGGCCTTGAGGCCACCCAACGTGCCTGAAAACTGGTGGTCTTGTCTAGGCTGAGTAGCACTGCACCAGGTATCTCCAGGTCTCCTACACCCTACCCCTTTGAGATTAGCCCTTAGGCACACCACTGGACAATTATCTTCCACTGTTTCAAAGGGTGTGTGTAATATGCATGAAGTTGGAGAGAGGGGGGTTGAATGTAAAAGAATATATAGGATTGAAAGTCAGATTACTGGAATGAGAGCCTGAGACTGACTTCTGGGGTTTCAGAAGCATCAAGAAGGAAGAAGACAAAATAAAGAGATTAGTGTGCAGGGCTAGGTGTTGAGAATTCTGGGTTTGTTCCCCAGAGGGGTTCCCCTAATGGAGTTGTCAGACTGGGGGGGGGTACTTCCCCTCAGAGGTGTCTAGGGTAGGGGAGGTATGAGAAGTGGGAAAAGAGGAAGTCAGAGGAAGGGAGATGAGGGAAGGAGGGAGGTGGCTTCTGGAATGTGACCCAGAGAGCACAGCTCAGAGCAGAAAGGGGATTTCCAGAGCCTGCTCCTCCTCCCAGGACTGTCCCAGCCCCAGCCCTCCCTCTCTGCTGTCAGTCTGAGCCCTGACCCCAGCCTTGGCTCTTTGTGTACCCATTTACCTAGATCACCCGCCCCAGCTGTTCTGGACCAAGCTATCCCCGCCCCCTTCCTTCCACTTCTCCTTTCCCAGCTGTTAGGGGGGAAACCCCAGTCCCTGGGACTTTCCCTCCCATCTGTTTCCCCCCCCATCCTCTCCCATAGTAGGAGGGTGGGCTAAGCCAAGACTTACACCACCACTCCGTGTTCCTTCAAATAGACCACCTGCCCTCTACCTCTATGGGTCTGGTAATGTCAGGTGTCTAACCTCAAGGGTGGGAGGAGCAATCATGGGCAAACATGTCAGGTTGCCACCTAGGCAACTTAATGTCTGTACCAGGCACCAGCAGACTTGGCGCTCCAGCCGTGGGAGCAGACACTCTATAATTAGTGAACAGGGAGTTCCTTCAATGGGTACCCCTTATCTTCTTGTCTCTGGGGATGATGTAGGTGGGTCCTCTGAGGAAGGTGAAGTAAAGTTGATGCTTCTTTCTTGCCTCTTCTACTTTCTGGGGTGAGTACGAAGCATTGGTCCTGGAAACCCCCTTTCCTTTTTCACTTTGGTTATGAGCTAACTCACAAGGGCAACTTTGGGAGCAGTTACAAAGGGGTCATGGTAGGGCAAGAGGGGAGTCAAATCAGCCTTCATCTTGACCCCAACCCTCCAGAATCCCATAAGAAGGATGGGGAAATCCATTGTCTTCCGTCTATTTCCTCTCTCAGACTTTCACTTCCTATCCCTACCTGTTGTATAGTTGTTCCACGGATTTCCAGCCCAGCCTCCTCCTCCCATCCCACCTGCAGCCCATCCTTCCCATCCTGGGCATTCTGACACTCACTCTTGCCCTCTACCTTCCCTCCCCTCAGGCTGTTACACCTGGCAGTGATCCACGAGGCTCCTACCGTGCTGCTCTGCTGCTTAGCTCTGCTGCCCCAGGAAGTCCTGGACATACAAAATGACCTTTTTCAGGTGGGTAGAAGAAGCATGAAGACCATGCAAGGGAGCTGCCCTACCCCACCCCAGCCAACAGACTCCCTGAGCAGAGCAACTTCAACGGTTCTTTCCCCGTGAAAGCCTGGGGCCAGGGCCTGATTGTTCATTCTATAGGCTTAATAAAAGCCCTGACTATCCTCTGGCACTGTAGACCAGTCTTTGCTCTCGAGGGGATTATATTATGTTGGGAAGAAACATGAACTCAGGAAGGCTAGGGAGTGGTCCTGCAAGGATGAAGAGACTCCCTGTCCCGATGCAGTAAGACATCTCCACTGCACCTTAGGGAAGTGCCTTGCCTTTGTCCCGTGGTCTGGGTGGTTGGAGGTAAAGCCCTTTCCACATATTAACTGATTTGATCCTTACAACAGCCCTGGGAGGCAGGTCTGGTTATTATCCCCATTTTACAGATGAGGAAACTGGCACAGAAAGGCACAAGTTATGTGACTTGACCAGGGTCATATAATTAGTAAGTCCCTGAAACGGAATTTGAACCTAGGACTTCCTGGCTCCAAGGCCAGTTTTGTATTCATGCGGCTACAGCTATCTCTTGTAGATATAAAATACAGAACAAAGTGATTTCTTTGAGAGGGTCACTAGTATCTGGGTGTGAGAAGGGGATAGGTGGTGGTGGAGATCAGGGTAGGCTTCCTATAGGAGGTAGCATTTAAACTGAGCTTTGAAGAAAACTAGGGATTTTATGTGAATTTTGTTATTTATTTTAAGAGTAAGCTCAATGGCTCAGTAGATAAAAGAGTCCTGGGCCTGGAGTCAGGAAGACTTCAAATCCAGCCTCAGACTCTTAGTAGCTGTGTGACCCTAGGCAAGTCATGTAACCCTGATTGCCTCCAAAAACAAACAAAAAAACAAGTTGTAAAGAAAGTATGAACATGCACTGATCAAGGAAGTTTCCTCCCAGAGCGGTTCACCCTGTCAATGAAATCCCAGATTTAGTTCCTTTCTGTTCTATGAACCTCCCTGGGTCATTGTGAAAAGTTCTTCCTAATTAATAACAATATGTGCGTATGTTAACCCTGAGGTTAGGGCCCTGGAGGGGCCTATGTTTGTCCCCACCCCAGCTCCACTCTCTAGGGGAGACCCATAAATAAGGTTTTGATGAAGCTTCTGTGGAAAAGGAAGGCCACCTATTCCCTCTGGATGCTCTGTATAGACTCTTTATAAGAACTTGACCTCTGAGAATGAAAAGGGGAAATTGTAAGGGATCTAAGTACTGCCCAGAGGCAGAGGATTAGAGAGAATAACCTCTATAACACCTCCCTCCCCCACCTTTCTTCCCCTAATATGGTGCCTACAGACAGCCTTGCACTTGGCGGTATACCTGGACCAGCCCGACACAGTCCGGGCCCTAGTGCAGAAAGGAGCAAGCCAGACACTGCAGGACAGGCATGGGGACACAGCTCTGCACCTGGCCTGTCAACACCAGCACCTGGACTGCGCTCGCTACCTCTTAGAGGCCACACCTGATCGAGGTCGGGGCCAACACCATCATCCGGAGCTTCAGCTGCAAAACTGGCAAGGTAGGATGATGCATCTGCTGGAGGGGATACCGTGGAGGAGGGGGATGGGGTGATTACTCACTTGTGATAGGAGATCAGACAGAGAAGAAACGAAAAGCTTTTAGGGCTGGACCTGAAGATAGGTTCCACCCGAACTTACTATGTCACCCTGGGCATGGCATTTTAACCTCCCTCAGCCTCAGTTTCCTCATCCATAAAATGGGAATGATATACCTACTTCACACTGTTGTTGTGAGGCTTAAATAACATAAGTAAAGTGTTTTGCAAATCTTAAAGAATTAGTATTATTAGGATCAAATAACATAAAGTGCTTTGCAAACCTTAAAGAATTATTATTATTAGGATCAAATAGCATAAAGTGCTTTGCAAACCTTAAAGAATTATTATTATTAGGATCAAATAACATAAAAGTGCTTTGCAAACCTTAAAGCGTTGTTGTTATCGTTGTTATTACCTATGTGAGCTCCTAACATGATAGGGTGATAACTTGACTCCCCCCCCTTTCCTTCCTCCCCAGGCTTGGCCTGCCTACACCTTGCTACTTTGCAGAGAAATCGGCCGATAATGGAATTGCTTCTCCAGAACGGGGCTGACATTGACATCCAGGTGAGGTAGCCAGGCCCTTCACCTTCTCTAGTCAATCTTAGACTCCCATTTGAGTGTCCATAGTACCCAGGGACGCCCCTCCTTCCTCAGTGGCTCCCAGGAGAAAGCTATAGCAGAGAGATGGGGACAGGGTTGGGGAGGGGAGCCTCTACTCCAGAAGGTTGAGGAGGATGAGGCTTGTGCCCCTCGGGGAGGGTGAATGTAGCTAGTTCCTCTCTTGGCTGTCCTCTGGACATTTTCTACCATTCCTCCCTACCCCCTTCTTTTATGCATCTCCCACCATTACAATGTAAGGTCCTTAAGAGCAGACATGGTCTTTCTCTCTTTATTTGTATTCTCAGTGCTTTGCACATAGTAAGTGCTTAATGAAAGCTAGTTGAGCAGCTGACTGATCAGTGATGTCTGTAATCCCCAATAGGAGGGCACCAGTGGGAAGACCGCCCTTCATCTGGCTGTAGAGACACAAGATAGGGCTTTAGTGCGGTTCCTGCTTCGGGCAGGGGCTCGGGTGGATGCCAGAATGCACAATGGCTGTACCCCTCTCCACCTGGCCGCTGGGCGACACCTGTCCGGCATCGCTGCCACTCTGTGCCAGGCGGGTGCTGACTCCTTGCTCCGGAATGTCGAAGATGAAACACCACAGGACCTAGCTGAAGATGTAAGTGCAGTCCCTCTCCTACTCTGTCCCCCACAACACTGACCTAGGAGTAAAAAGACCTGGGTTCTGGTCTGCACTCAGGTCTTCTCTGAATGAGCCTTACTTTTCTCCTCCATAAAATGAAGGGTTGGACCAGGTGGTCCCTAAAGTCCTTTCCAGCTCTGGCCTTCTGCATCTGCTGTATGAACCTTAGCCCATAGGGGCTGCCCATGTGGCAGGACAACTGTTGGTCAATTTCTTGATTTCACTCAAAAACTCCCAAGAATCCTTCCTGAGAAGCAATTGGAGAGTAGCTGTTGGATTTCTGCCCACTCCAACAGGCTCTGGGAATTCCATCTCCTTCCCTCCAGCCCACACCCTTGACCCATTTGTGCTTTTCCCACCCCCGCCCACCTCCTGTTTCCCCATAGCCCTCTAACCTCCCTGTCTCTCTCTTCTCTCCCTCCAGCCTCTCACTCTCCTGCCCTTTGATGACCTGAAGATTTCTGGGAAGCCACTGCTATGTACTGACTGAAGTCAGGCCTGGGTCCTTATGGCCTCCTTCCTCACCCCAACCTCCTCAGCTGGGCACTCCAGCTCACAAGGGTGATCAGCAGCTGCTCTGGGCCTTTCACTGTCTTCAGTGTCCTACCACAGAAGGGGTTGGCGTGGGTGCAAAAGCCACTGAGAGATGGGATTGACCGGCCACAGGCTGAGCAGAATCTCTATGAGCTGAGAGGACTCAGGATTCCAAGGAACAGACAAAGAAATTACATCACAGAGGCAATTTTTTTGAAAGGAAGTCAACTTTCTTAGACTCGTCATGGAAGGAAGGAGTAGTGAGATGCTTGCAGCAGCAGGGGTCCTCTCTCCACTTTACAAATACGGAACCAGAGACACAACCCATTGTGGTTTATCAGGGGCTGTAGCCCTGTTGCTGGGAACACTTCCAGAGCAAGCCTGAAGCAGATGGCTGAGGGAAGAGGATGAAGCATCACCAGGAGTTTGTCCTGTAGGAAAACCCCCTCTTGTTGCTGAGGATTAGTAGGAAATAGTTGTTTAAGGGACTTTTGTGAGAGAAACCCTGGACTATGTTTTGAGGAAGGGGAATGATATGACACTAAAAAAGCAAAGTGTTTTGACTGTTTTTCCCCCATCTCCTTCTCTCTCTTGGTTTTTAAAAATACTTTCTTAGCAAATGAGATGACAGGTCAGAAGGCTCAGGGAGTAATCCTAGACAAAAAAGGGAAGGGAAGATAAAAAGAGAAAGCCCTATGGTATAATGAAAAGAGCAATGAATTGGGGGTCAGGGGACCTGGGTTCCAGAGTTCTGCCACAGTGAGTGTGTGATATTGGACAAGTCTCTTCATATCTCTGGGCCTCAGTTTCTTCATCTGTCAAATTGAAGGGGTTGGACTAGATGACATCTAAGGTCCTTTGCAGCTCTAAAGTCTATGACCCTTTGAGAATCAGCTGACCAGCCCTCCTCACTCTTCCTCCAGTCCCTTCCCTCCCACTCTATCTTTGAAGCCTAAACATCTTGTCCAGCACATTGGTACTGTGGGGAAAGAACAGAGGAAAGAGTGCCCCTGATGTTAGGAGAGCTCATGATCCAAGCAGGGCAACAGTATTATTATTAGAGAGGGTACAGTGCTAAACTTGGAGGCAGGAAGATCTCAGTTCAAATCCTGTCTCAGACACTGACTACGGGACTCTGCCTCAGTTTCCCCAACTGTAAAATGGGGATAATAATAGCATCTACTTTGCAGGTTGGTTCTGAGGATCAAAGGAGATAACATATGTATAAAGCACGTAACATAGTGCTTGGCACATAGTAGGTGTTTATATAAATGTTTGTTCCCTTCCCCTTTCAATTTAAAAATGAATAAACAGGCTCAGAAGAAAGGACTTGGTCAAGGTCCCAAGGGCTTCTGACATCAAAACTAGTTTATTCCACTGGGGCAGGAAGAAATAAGGGTCTACCAGAAGCGGGGGGGAGTATATGTGTATACATACTATGTATAAGTAAAAACTTACAGTTTTATACTTACAGTATATGAAATCAATGAGTCAGTAAACATTTTTTTTTTTGGCTAGGCAATGGGGTTAAGTGACTTGCCCAGGGTCACACGGCTACTGTGTATTATGTGTCTGAGGCTGGATTTGAATTCTGGTCCTCTTGACTCCAGGGCCGATGCGCTATCCACTGCTCCACCTAGCTGCCCCCAGTAAACATTTAGTAAGTGCCTACTAGATTGCAGAGCTCTGGTGCCAAGCCCTGACATTACAAAGAAAGGCAAAAGATAGTGCCTGCCCTCAAGGAGTTTACAATCTAATGGAAGAGACAGCATGCAAACATCTCTGTAGAAACAAGATACATACATTGGACATAAACAACAGATGGGCGGTGCAAGAATTAGAGGGGAACAGGAAAGGCTTTCTGTGGAAGGTGGGATTTTAGCTGGGACTCGGAAACTTGCCAGGAAAAGGGGTGGCGTGGGGAGGAAGGATCTGTTTGGAGTCTGAAACAGAACAAGGACTGCAGCCAGTGGAGCAGTTGAGACCTAGAATATCAAAACCTGGAAGTAACTAAAAAATCTTTAAGACCTTCCTCATTTTATAGAAGGAAATTGAGGTGAAAGGACAGAAAAATTTCATTGCCTCTGAGGAAAACTGGGTGGAAGGGGATGAGCCAAGTGAGAAGAAAACAATCTTGAGGCTCTCAGGGCACCACAGGCGTGGTAGTGGAGAAGGGGGTTGCAAATTTCCAGTGACAGTGGGCGACTCAGAGTCTCTTGAATGTACCTCAGTTGAAGTTCCCCCCTCAGGCCACGAGGTGGCGCTGCGGGACAGGGTTCTGGTCGTCGAGGCTGGCTCGGGCGTTGAATGCTGTTTCCTTTGCGCCGCGGAGCTGAAACTCCCTTGTAGATCAGGAGGTGGCGCAGCTGGGGCAGAGTCTCAGTAGGCCCCGAGGCCGACTTTAAGGCGCTGAACGCTGTCTTCTCTGTGCCGCGGAATTGAAGCTCCCCCATAGACCGCGAGGGGGCGCTGCGAGGCAGGGTCCCGGCAGGGCCCCGAGGCTGCATTCCCCCTCCCATTCTTCGGGCGGCGCTGCAGCGGGGGCGGTGCCTGCTCGAGGCTGTGTTGCGTGGCAGGAGCCGGAGGAGCCCCGGGAGGCGGGGAGGCTAGTGTATGACACTTCCGGCGGCCGGTTAAGTCTAGGGGAGGAGGAGGAGGAAGCGGCGGCGGCGGCTCCCCGGGAACCTCAGAATCCTCCCCCTCTCCCTTTCCCCCCTCCCCCGTGTGACCCGGATTCCCCTCCCCCCTTCCCCCGCGGCGGTCGCGACCATGGAACGCAGGTGAGCACGAGCGGCCGGGCCCCCCACGTGACCCACCCCCTCATCCTCCACGTGACCGCCTTCGGAACGGAGCGGGTGAAGAGGAAGCCGCGGCGGAGGGGGGGGAACGGGGAGGAGGAGGAAGGAGATAAGGAGGGCGAGAGGAACAGGGATGGGGATGGGCGGCGGAAAGGTCGCTGCCCAGCCGCGGCGGGGACGGATGCTCGGTGAGCCTGAGCAGGGAACAGAGGGGGTTTGTGTAGCCCGAGGGGCGGGCCCATCCCTGGGGACTAAGGAGGGAGGGGCGCCCTGCTGCCAGGCCTGCCACCACCCCAGCCCCAAAGAGAGCATCTTTGTTCAGGCTGCAGGGAAAGAAGGCTCTTTGGTGGGCTTCCCATTCCCCTCCTTCCCCCTGCTGAATAGAGGCCACTTGGGAGCCTGATCAGAGCGAAGGATGGGAAGCCCCCTTTCACCCGCGGGGGCTGCTCCCTGGAATTCAGTGAAGATGGAGGAAGGTGTGGGGCCCCAGGGGTCAGAGGAGGATAGCCCAAGGATTCACACAGACGCGTTTTCATCTTTTACCTTGCAGGTGGTGGGCAGTGTTGGTGCTGGTCACTTTCCCCACTCTGGGAATGGGAGGGGAGGTTTCGGAGGCTGCCCCAGAACACTGGACCCAGTTCTGGTTCGTCAGATTCCTAGTGAATGCTGCTGGCTATGCTAGCCTTATGGTGCCTGGCTACTTCCTGGTCCAGTACTTCAAGCGAAGGAATTATCTAGAGACAGGTGTGTTTGAGGAAAGGATTTGAGGTCTGGGGCAGAAGGTTGGAGCAGGGGTGTTTGGGTCCAGTGGAATCATGATGGGGGAGGTGGGAAACTTATGGCAGTGATCCTGATCCTACTAAACCCCTTCCCCAGGCCGGGGCCTTTGCTTCCCTGTTATACGGGACTGTGTTTTTGGCAATGAGCTCAAGCCTTCAGATGAGCCCCCAGCAGTTCCCCGCCCAGAACTGACAGAAACCACCAGAACTCGACAGCTCCTCAAGCTGCTTTTCTGTACTGGGGGGCTTCAGGTAGGTTGATTTAACTGTTTCCAGCATGGATGGGGCCCAGGATTCAGTATGAAGGGACTGCTTGGCCAAGGTGCTGATTGCTTGGCTTTCTTTGAATGACTTGTTAACCAGTAGTAGGCTGGTTGTGCCATTAACATGGGCCATAAAGCCCTTAGATTGTGCTCTACTTTCCATCAAGTATTTTGCAGTATCAGACTGGAGTATACACCAACAAGGTTGGGTTAGGAAGAAAGGAAAGACTGATTCCTATAATGGGTACTATGTGGTAGGCATTATACTAACTACACTAATAGGTTGTGTCAAATCTCCTTTGATCCTCAATTACAACTCTGCAAAGTAGATAGTTATTATCCCCATCTTGCAGTTGAAGAAACTGAGGCAAAGTTACACAGCTAGTCAGTGTCTGAGGCAGCATTTGAACTGAGGTCTTCCTGCCCCCAAGTTCAGCCCTGTACCCTCTCTGTCACCTAGCTGCCCTCTCTAATAATACCGTTGCCCTGCTTGGATCGTGAGCTCTCCTAACAGCAGGGGCACTCTTTCCTCTGTTCTTTCCCCACAGTACCAATGTGCTGGACAAGATGTTTAGGCTTCAAAGATAGAGTGGGAGGGAAGGGACTGGAGGAAGAGTGAGGAGGGCTGGTCAACTGATTCTCAGTCAAAGGGTCAGAGACTTTAGAACTGGAAAGGACCTTAGATGTCATCTAGTCCAACCCCTTCAATTTGACAGTTGAAGAAACTGAAGCCCAGAGATATGAAGAGACTTGTCCAACATCACACACTCACTGTGGCAGAACTCTGGAACCCAGGTCCCCTGACCCCAAATCATTCTTTCTGCACCACAGTGATGCTGTGAGTAGCAAGTTTCATGTGCCATATCTCACTGGTGAGGGGATGTGGTTTATCTATCACTTCTCCCTAGTAATCTATGCTTTAGATTGTAAAGTTGGGCTGAAGAGTGAGTGTTTCTGTATCTTGTCAGTTAACATGCCTTTATTGAATGCCTACAGTGTACTAGACACTGTGCTAAGTACTAGGATTGTTTGTTTTTTTTGGCTAGGTAGTGGGGTTAAGTGACTTGCCCAGAGTCACACAGCTCGTAAGTGTCATGTATCTGAGGCCGGCTTTGAACTCCGGTCCTCCTGAATCCAGGGCCGGTGCTCTATCCACCACACCACCTAGCTGCCCCTAAGTGCTAGGATTGTAAGGCAAAAGACAGTTCCTGCCCTCAAGGAGTTCCCATTCTAATGGGAGAGACAACATGCAAACAACTGTGTACAAATTATATACACAGTGAATTGAGGGAAAATCAAAATCAAGAGTCATGGTGCTAGAATAGACGGATCAGGAAAGGTTTCTTGTAGAAGATAGTGGAATTTTGGCATGGACTTGAAAGAAGGCAGAAGGAGATGGGGAAGGAGAGTGCTCCAGGCATGGGTGGCAGTCCGTGAAAATGCCCTGTGTTGGGAGGGAGAAAGTCTTCTTTAACAACAACAAGGAAGCCAGTGTCACTGGATCGAAGAGTAAGTGGAGGAGTGTGAGGTGAAAGATGACTGGACAGGTTATGAAAGGTTTTGAATGCTAAACAGAGTATCTGATATTCTATCCTAGAGGACATAGGGGTGCACTAAAGTACATTGAATAAGAGGGTGATGAGGTCAGTCAGACCTGCACTTTAAGATCAGTTTGGCAGCTAAATGGAAGATGGACTGGAGTGGTCAAACTTGAAGGCAGGTTGTGAGGTCACGAGGGCCTGCACTAGGGTGGTGACAGTGTCAGAGGAGAGAGAGCCAATGAGATTACAAAGTGAAATATTATAAAGGGAGAAGAAAGAGGACACGATATAGAGAGAGCCCTGGAGGACACTTAACATTAGTGGACATGACTTGGACAAAGATTCAGCAAAGGAGACTGGGAAGGAACAGGTAGGCAGGAGGGAGAACCTGGAAAGAGTGATGTCATTAAGACTTAGAAGAGACTCAAGGAGAACAGGGTGAAGGATATTGTCAGCTTGTGCTGACAACCTCCCCATTCTTATTCCCATCTCCTTTAAGATCTATTTTCCCAAATATGCTGACCATGGAGGATCTAGTAGGGAGATTCCTTGGAGACTCCTTGGATGTTAGGCAGAAGACCTAGATTCTATCAATGCTCTATTTTGTGACCTTCGGGCAGTCAGTGTTTAGAAAAGAGGTGGGAGTGATCCCTGTTCACCTCTCTGCCTCCTGCAGTTGGATTAAGTTAGATAATAAATGAATATGTCTGTTTCAGTATTACTGTTAACTCACCTGTACTGATTAACATTTGTTTGACTTGGGGATACAGTTTTGTGTGTGTGTGTATGTGTGTGTACACATATGTACACCACCTCTCTGTACGGATCCCCTACATTGACAAATTAACTCAAAGCATTATGATTTCACCTTTATCAAGGCAAACTAGGCAAGCTGAAACATTTGTATAAAAGTCAAAGGCAAGTATTAGGTGAGATATACAAAATTGGAAGTAATAGAGGACAAAGCCATGAAGTCACAGTAACCCAAGCAGTGACTGGAACATTTTCAGAACAAGTCCTGCAGATGGAGCTTGTGCTTTTCCAGTTTCCCATGGCTCCTCAGGGTAGCGGTGGCTAAGCTACCTATTGTCCATTGTAGTCATGCAAGACTCTGGAAGCGAAATCAAAGGGAACAGGCCCAGAACTGATTGTACATGTCAACTAATTTCTGACTTGAATGTGTAAAAGGAGTAGGAATGACTGTGTAGTCCCTGTAAGTGTTTATAAAAATAACTGAAAGTGGATTCTAAAGCAAAAGATAATTGGATTTTAATAGTGGTAGTGACTTTTCTCTGGAAAAGGGAGGATTTGTCATCTGTTTTGCTTCCTAGACTCACCTCACCTCTTTTCTCTCTCTCTCCCTCCTCTGTATCTTTCTCCCCACTTTTGACCTCTTCTGCTCTACCCTGTTAATGGGTTCCTAACTTCTCTCTCCTATTTCTCCCAGGCATCATACCTGACTTGGGGTGTACTACAGGAGCGAGTAATGACACGAAACTATGGGGCTACAGATAAAATACCTGGAGAGCGTTTCACTGACTCCCAGTTCCTGGTGCTGATGAACAGAGTGCTAGCACTGACAGTGGCTGGCCTGTGTTGTGTGCTCTGCAAACAGCCCCGGCATGGGGCACCCATGTACCGATACTCCTTTGCCAGCCTCTCTAACATCCTTAGCAGCTGGTGCCAGTATGAGGCCCTCAAGTTTGTTAGCTTCCCCACACAGGTGCTGGCAAAGGCCTCCAAAGTGATCCCTGTAATGCTCATGGGCAAACTGGTGTCCCATCGCAGCTATGAGCACTGGGAATACCTGACTGCTGGCCTCATTTCTATTGGGGTCAGCATGTTCCTGCTGTCCAATGGGCCTGAGCACTACTTTTCCCCAGCCACCACGGTCTCAGGCTTCATCCTGCTTGCTGGCTACATTCTTTTTGACAGTTTTACCTCCAACTGGCAAGATGCCCTATTTGCTTACAAGATGTCCTCAGTGCAGATGATGTTTGGGGTCAACCTCTTTTCTTGTCTCCTCACAGTGGGCTCATTGATACAGCAAGGGGCTCTGGTGGAGGCAACGAGGTTCATGGGTCGGCATGGAGAGTTTGCTGCCCACGCCCTGTTGCTATCCATCTGTTCAGCCTTTGGCCAGCTCTTCATTTTTTATACCATTGGGCAGTTTGGAGCTGCCACTTTCACTATTATCATGACCTTGCGGCAGGCCTTCGCTATTTTTCTCTCTTGTCTCATTTATGACCACACTGTCACTGTGGTTGGGGGTCTAGGCATGGCAGTTGTTTTTTCTGCCCTCTTCCTTCGAGTGTATGCCAAAAGGCGCCTGAAGCAGCGGGGAAAGAAAGTACCTCCAAATGAGGCTCCAATACAAAAGGTCTGAGACAAGAGAAAATGGTGTTTAGGAAAAAGTAACCCTTTATTTTTGGATTTTCTTCCTTTGTGGCTGGGGAACAGTGTTTCTTCTGTCTCACACTAGCTCCTGCAAATGTTGGGGCCTGGGGGCAACCTCCACCTTTGCCTTAAGAATCATGAGTCCTGATTTCAAGGTACTGGTTTTCTTATGAACCCAGCTCTCCCCCTGCCCCCATTCAGTATTCAGTTTGTAAAACTATTGCCCCCTGCTGACCGGTTTCTACTGTTCTCTCCATTCCAACTCCCCTAGTGCCAGGCCAGCACAACCTCATCATCTAGCTCTGGCTCCAGTTAATCCCTCCTGACCCTTGAGAGCTATATATCCCTTCCCTGGTGAGAGAAGCACAAGGGTTCTAGGTTGCTGCTGGTCCCCAGTGGGGGGGGCATGAAGGCTGCTGGAGATGGCCTCACCTTCTAGTTTATGAGCTCTCCTTATTGGGCCAACCCCAAGTTTTGGTACTTCAAGATGTAACTTTTACTCAATTAAAAAATGCTGCAAGGGGGATGGACCCTGTGTATGCATTGGGGACAGGGTGGGAGTTGAGGGTGGGGACCAGCCTTCCAGTCACCACCTCGCTGCCAAGCAGACCTGAGCTACATCTCAGTTTCCTGAAACTGCCAATGAACTCTTAATCTTGGTGATTGTGGGTTAACTTGCCAGGCTAAACTCAGGTTTCAAGTAATAGAGGGTTTCCCCTTTCTTAACTCTAGCTCTCTCCCCTCCCACCTGATTGCCCAGTAAATCAAGTACACCGGGCTGCAAGGGTTCCGTGTAAAAACTGCATTCTTTATTCTGCATACTTTAATTTCAGAACAAAATAAACATTAACAGCCCACAATACACAACATCCTACTCCCCAGATCAGGAGAGGGGGAACAGGGACCCTGTAAGCCCTGCCCTAATACACTGGAAAACAGGAGGGGAAAAAAAAACCACTAGACATTGGCCGATGGAGCCAGGCAAGGACAGGGCCTCTACTGCTGCTGTGGGAAAACACAGGGAACTATACAGAGGGGGGTTTTGATGCAGAGGTTTTGTCTAATCCACCTCCTCCATGCGGGATGCATCTTCATCTCCTTCAAGTGGAGGGATCTCATCAGGAACAGCAGCACTGGGTTCTTCTGCTGTCACCTCATCCTCATCAATTCCTGGGGACAGAAAGGTTACATAATATGTAACATGTTGAATAATCTTTCCAACCCTCAAAAACTCCAAAAAGTTATCCTGAACCACCTACCAATAAGAATCCAAAGGGCAATCACAAATTACCAATTCTACTTTTGCTTGAATACCTCCAATGAAAAATCATTCGGCCAACCCCCGTTTTCAAACAGCTCAAATTCTTGAGACTCTACCTGTCTTAATGCAGCTGGTCTGCAAAGTTTATAACATGCTTTATCCTCACAACTACCTCTGACTTACAGATATGGAAACTGGGACTAACAAGTGTATGAGCCCAGGGCAGGTCACTCAAGTCTCAAGCAGAATTTGCAATCGAGTCTTCCTCAACATTGGCCCAGTTGCCCTTCCCCCCATCTTCTCAGATGCACGTGACTGTCATGGCCACAAGACCATACTCACCAAGACCTAGCTTAATCATGCGGTAAATTCGGTTTGAGTGAGTCTGAGGATCTTCAAGGGAGAAACCTGAAGACAGCAGGGCTGTCTCAAAAAGCAGCACTACCAGATCTTTCACAGCCTTGTCATTCTTGTCAGCCTCTGCCTTCTGCCGGAGAGTCTCCACAATGGGGTGATCTGGGTTTATTTCCAGGTGCTTCTTGGCCATCATATAACCCATTGTGGAGTTGTCTCTCAATGCCTGTGCTTTCATGATGCGTTCCATGTTGGCTGTCCAGCCATATGTGCTAGTAACAATGCAACAGGGTGAAGATACCAGCCGATTGGAGATTGTCACCTAGGAACATTTTAAAATTTTAATTTCTAAGTAGTACCCACCAGTGAGAACAAAACAGCCTGTAGAGTGGGCCACATGAAAGCACACTCGTAACACCATTAATCTACATATACATATTAAAACATGGTCACGTATTGGCTACGATGACTCCCCAAAAGACATAAATCTACGATAAAACCCTAGAAGAGGCCATTTCCTCAAGACTAATAATGACTTCCAAGTTTCACTTACTTTCTCAACCTTCTTATCCAGAATTTCCTTCATTAGCTTGCACAAGTTCTCAAATTTTGCCTTGCTCTCCTCCATTTTTTTCTTTTCTTCTTCATCCTCTGGAAGTTCTAACCCTTCCTTAGTAACAGAGACAAGGGTCTTCCCATCAAATTCTTTTAGCTGCTGCACACAGTACTCATCAATGGGCTCTGTCATGTACACTACTTCAAAACCACGTTTCCGTACCCGTTCCACAAAAGCAGAGTTGGCCACTTGTTCTTTGCTCTCACCTGCAAATTATGAATTGATTAGAGACCGGCATGTCACGCTAATGTCAGGACACCCAAGTTTGCCAATATCCCCAACACCAAAAGCCCAAGGTCGGAAAATCCAGTCTCAGCTTACCAGTGATATAGTAGATGCATTTCTGGGTTTCCTTCATTCTAGACACATACTCAGACAAGGAAGTCATCTCATCTCCTGACTGAGATGTGTGATAACGTAGCAGTTCAGATAGACGGCGCCTGTTGGTCGAGTCCTCATGGATTCCAAGCTTTGGGTAGAGAAGACATCAGAATCAGATACGCATTAGTATATAAGTTCAGCTGAGACTGCTGTCCTATCTGGCGATCCCCTTTGCTCGACTTAGACAAGTATTCCAAGAACACCAAGAAAGGTATTTAACAGCCTACAGATGCTCACCTTCAGGTTTTTCGAAAAGGCCTCATAGAACTTTTTGTAATTCTCTTTGTCTTCTGCCAATTCAGAGAAAAGCTCTAGACACTTCTTGACAATGTTCTTACGGATGACCTTCAAGATTTTACTCTGCTGCAGCATCTCTCTGGAAATGTTGAGGGGCAGATCCTCCGAGTCCACCACACCTCGGATAAAATCTAAGAAAAAGCAGGATAAAATAACTAATCACCATTTGTCAGAAAATACTTTTTGCTTAAACATCTACAAAGTTAAAATCCTCACAAAGCAAACAATGGTAAGCCCATTAAAGAATATCACAAACAGGAACACTTACTGAGATACTCAGGAATAAGCTCATCACAACTGTCCATGATGAACACACGACGTACATACAGCTTAATGTTGTTCTTCTTCTTTTTGTTTTCAAAGAGATCAAAAGGAGCCCGGCGGGGGATGAAGAGCAGAGCTCTGAATTCCAGCTGACCTTCCACAGAGAAGTGCTAAAGAGGCAAAGAACAATTTTTCTCATCTTGGTTCAGAAAACTGCTGCCTAGAACTCACTGTTTCTCCAAGGAGGAAAAAACCCTGCAGGATGACCCTTTAATAATGCAGCAAAGTCCATTTTGCATTTTATCTGGTCTGAACAAAATGTACTATTTAAATTTTCCACAACACTTTGGCACTCAAGATTTTCTTACCTTTACTGCCAAGTGATCTTCCCAATCATTGGTGAGGCTCTTATAAAACTCGCCATATTCCTCTTGGCTGATGTCATCAGGGTTACGTGTCCAGATGGGCTTAGTCTTGTTCAGCTCTTCCTGATCAATGTATTTCTCCTTGATCTTCTTGGTTTTCTTCTTCTTGTCCTTGCCTTCATCTTCTTCATCAGATCCTACATCTTCTATCTTGGGTTTCTCCTCATCTTTAGCTGGCTCTTCCTCTTCTTTCTCTTTGTCTTCCTCTGTCTCATCGTCACTGATTTCCTTCTCTCGTTCTTTCTCCAACTAAGGGAGCAGCCAGAAACAAAGTTTAGTTGGAATTAGGTCTGCACAGATTTAAAAGCAAAAGTAATCTGAATGGTTAAATTAGAAAAATCATCCCTTACGATTAACATAACTTAGGTTTAGAAAGAAAAAAATATGTAAATGGGTAGTGTGTACTCACATAAAGTGTGATGGGATAGCCAATAAACTGAGAGTGCTTCTTTACAACCTCCTTGACCCGCCTCTCTTCCAGATATTCTGTCTGGTCTTCTTTCAGATGTAAGATCACCTTGGTACCCCTGCCAATAGGCTCACCTGAAATAAAAAAATTTAACCAGTGGCATGTTATTTGGAATAGAAACATGACCAACTTTTTAAAGCAAGGCCCTTGGGTTTCTTAACCTACACATTCCAATTCAAAGAAATTCCATCCAACCCAAGACAAACCAAGCTACATACCATGGTCAGCACGGACTGTGAAAGAGCCACCAGCAGAAGACTCCCAGGCATACTGTTCATCATCATTGTGCTTGGTGATGACAACTACCTTCTCTGCCACCAAATAAGCAGAATAGAAACCCACACCAAACTGACCAATCATGGAGATGTCTGCTCCAGCCTACATGAAAGAACATAGAGAAATTGGGGATACAAAGAAAAAAGGTTCACATCAAGGAACTCTAGGGACAAAGACAGATGTCATACCTGCAAAGCCTCCATGAAAGCCTTGGTGCCAGACTTGGCAATGGTACCCAAGTTATTGATCAAATCAGCTTTTGTCATGCCAATGCCAGTGTCCACCAAAGTCAGAGTACGCTCCTGAGGGTTGGGGATGATGTCAATCTTTAGCTCTTTACCGCTGTCCAATTTGGAAGGATCTGTCAGACTCTCATAGCGAATCTTGTCCAGGGCCTAGGAAAGAGAATATAGGTCTATTAGCTATCCCTGCAAGCCATGCCAACCCCTTTATCTTCTCTACAACTCAGAGACCCTAACTTTTCACCCCTTCCTAAATACCATCAATGCTGACTACCTATAATTGTACTGCTCCATTAGGTTCATATTCACAGACTTGATTATCAGAAACTGCCTACACATGACTCAGTATAGCCTTCCTTTCTACCTATGATGCACAACCTCATATCCCTCTCCATGGGGTATTGCAACTAAACATGTCATCAGGAATCACAAGAGAAAATATGGTTGAAACCACCACCCTTCCTCCTATCCCCCCCCAGGTTAGCATAATATCAATGGTAACACTTACATCAGAGGCATTGGAAATGATCTCTCGAAGGAAAATTTCCTTATTAGAATAAAAGGTGTTGATAATCAAGGACATAAGCTGGGCAATCTCTGCCTGGAAGGCAAAGGTCTCCACCTCCTCCTCTCCATGCTGTACTTCCTCAGGCATCTTCAAATGTAAAAGAATACAATTAATCTAGAGTCCATCATCTGGCCTCCCCTTCATCTCCCACAAGAATTTATTATCTGAGAAAAATCAATTGGTTCCTACCCATGTGCCTGGTTCAGTTACCTAATAATTAAGCAATAAAAAAACAACCAAAACACCAGACTTAGTTGTTTTGGGACAGTCAAAGGACTCTGAAACTAAAGGTAAATGCCCTGTAGATTATGGATTATTGAAGAAATGTTTCTCTATACTCTCCAGAAACCACCAAGCCCATTAACTTTGTC